GGAGCGTCTTGCCCTGAGGAGAGTACCGCGTGGGGCGTGTGCCTCGGCGGGGTGACGACCGGAGGAGGGGATTCAAACCTCGACCTGTTTCTCTTTCCCAGGTCATGTAGAGGAGCAGATTTCATCTGAAGATGGGACTGTTGGTGTTCATGCGGAACCTGCTGCTAGCCCTCTGTCTCTTTCTGGTACTGGGATTTCTGTATTATTCTGCTTGGAAGTTGCACCTTCTCAAATGGGAGGATTCCAGTAAGTATAAGCACGGTAACTCTTCTCAGCCTCCCTAATAATGCCTCTAAAATAGTTGCTACGTACTGAGGTGGTTCTGATTTACTAGTATTAGCGGGATGTGATTAAGCCCAAGCAAATGCTGGAGTTCTCTCGTGTGCTTAAGGGGTGGAATTTGTGATTACCTAATGCTCTTTATGGCTTTCCTTTTATTACTGAGCACAAAAGCAGGTTCATGCTCTATAAATCTAGTATTAGAGACTTCAGTTTGCAAAATACTTTGTTTTAGTTTATGATTCTTAATTGTCAAAATTAAGTAAGCTTGTGCACTGAGGCTTTTGTTTCCTGAATCTTTTTGTATATTTTAAGTACCCTTTGTTTTTTAGCAAATACCTATGATGAGGGTTTTTTTTTTCTCTGCTGGAATTTGATTTCTTTCTCTAATCATATGTACTAGTTATCTCATCGTCTTACTTCGTCCTTCAGAAATCCTTATCTTCCCTTTATCTTCTACCATATTGTCTGCCAAATATCTGTCGTCTAAAATGATGTGTCTCAACCTTTTTAAGTCCAAAGGGACATCTGACCTCGTAGAATACAATCTGAGGATTGTACTGGGCAGTAATGCCACAGGAGATTTTAGATGCAATCGGATATAAATTAGGCTTGACTTTGAATGCTCAGTTACTGCTTTTATTTTTCCTTGTTTTCCATTTTCTTGCTTGCACGTGAGAATTGTGTATTGCAGCTATTGAAATAAGCGAACAATTCCCCTCCCCCCACCCCAAAATACAAGCCAGCTTTTTTTGAAGCTATTTCATGGGCTTTTTCAGAAGTGTCGCAGCTGAGCAGTGCTCCCTGGGTCAGAGGCTGAGAAACGCTGATCCAGAAGAACTGTTCTTCTGTCGGGCCAAAAACTATCTGTCAAATCCCATGTTCACTGTATTATGTTTCTTTGCATTGCTGGAGGTTTCTGTTGCAATATTTTTATTAGACTTAATTGTGTTTTTGCCCCTCTGTTTTTTGTTAGATGTTGTAAGGCGTTTTGTCTGTTAACAGATGATGACTTGGAAATGCCTTTCCACTGATACAGTGACTTTGACAGAAGGACTGCTAAGAAGTCCTGTTCTAGAACAGGTAGCGGAAGAGTGAATTTATAAGATGACAAACATGGTGTCTTTCTGGGCAGAGATTTTTTTCTTCAGGAACGTGCTTAAGACATTGGGAGTCCAAATATTGATTGGGATCTCTTGAAAATTAGTACCTTTGTCAGTGATATATGGAAAATTACTTTATAGATTGAAAATAAGCACAGAATATAGTTAAAAGATCAACTTTGATGTATCTGCTACCGCATGACAATTTGTTTTGAAATTAGAATACCTGTTGTCCTTTGCTTCCTTCACAGCACCAGAAATTGTCAGGGCTTTCCAAGACCTGTGAAAAGACTTCAGGCCACAACTTGCATGTGACCTTTGTTTACTTGTGGAAGAGCTTTGTGCTTAAATGACATGTACCAAGGTGCTGGAATGGGTTCTGAATTTCTTTGGGTTTTGCTTCTTTGGTCTGCCCGTGTCTAGTTCTAGCTGCCATTTTAAACGATGTCAGTCTCTTGGGGGTGGAGGGAGGTCGCTGCTTTGTCTTTTGATACAATGTTGCAAATTTGTAGGCAAAACATTGTCAGTTTTTAGACGCAAACGTTTTTATCAGAAGAGCTCCCTTTGGGTTGCAGGGGGCTAGAGTAATTTTTGTTGAGTGTACTGGCTGGTTTCAGATGCCCAGGATGTTCCAACAGGATAGGACAGGATCACCATGAGCTGATGTCACAGACTTTTTGTTAGCTGCCTGTTTCTATTTCTTGAATCTTGTGTTTAAAATGTGTTCTTCGCTTATTCTTGGAAGGTGAAAAATATTAAGTTTATTGAACACATACAAAGCATTGACAGTGCTTTTAAGACTTGGCTTATTGACCTTCATCAGTTGCCACAACTGAAAGGAAGCGATGGTACAGCTTATATCTTTTAGAAACTTTTATGGATGTGTACTTCTCAAAATATTACTGTAAACAGCAATATACAATTTTATATGGCTACTTTTGAAAGCAGTTACGGAGCTACTAGTTTTCTGTTGATTTTTTTGGAGTTCTCTATGTATCCAATAATATTTTATTTATCACATAATTTTATAAGTGAGAAATTTATGCACAATTTAAGCATAAATTAAAAATATCGGGAGACTCTCGTACGAAGAGTTAATGTTAAGCTTCTATAAATAAGTATTTGGAAGTTAACAGTTGACAAAAAGGAAATTGCTTTTCAAGCGTTATTAGGCCTCCTTGAGCATATGTAATATGAAACGATGTATAATGGTGCAATTATACCTTCTGTTTTATTTTCCCCTAATGGGAACCTTGTATGATTCAGTGCACAAGATAGGTGATGCTTGATGGCTGTTGTTATTTCTTTATTTTCTTATAATTCGGTGTGTGGCTTTATGATTGATATGATAACGCTGATATCTAAAACTGCAGAAATAAATTAGGTGTGTTAGTTCTTGAGTGTTTAATGATCTTAAGAATATTGCTTTTATGTTTAAGTTATCTTCCTGTTAAATTACTTTCTCTTTTGTTGTGATCAGTGCCTTTATTCTGGGTAACAGAACACAGAGTTACTAGGTAACTCCCTAGCATTCATCTTTTCTCTGGTCCTTTCTTCGTGCTAGTGGACGCATGAAACTGAGCTAACCCTGACATCTGAGACTCTTGCAATCTCTTCAGAGACTGCAGTTTTAGTAAACTTGACTCCTTTAATATTGGGCACAAACAAATCTGTCATGGGAGATGGTGAAAAATATTTGCTTATTTCCTGCTTATGTAATTTGTTCTCTCAATACTTCAGAAAACGCCTTGTGTACTTTGCTGTTATGGATGCATTTGAATGGTAACTCCATAAGGAAACTAGTCATGCTGAGCCTTGGATGTTTGTGTATTTAACTGCTGAAGTAAATTAATGGATAAAGTACGTTGTTTATTGCCGCTTCTGACACCTCCAAGAAAGGAGGCTAGACTTCTGGATATAGTGAAAGATATACGTGAATGTCTCTTGTAGTGTCCCCGCTTAACTTCAAATTTCTCCTCCTTGAGCAATGCCTTAGTAAGCTTTGAGAGACTGTTCTCCTTAATGTGTAACTGTACACCTTGCCAAAGTACAGAGGAGAGTGGAAAAGAATTAATTCTCTAAGCCTTATCTTCCCTGTGACAAGAGGAGATTGAATTCAGCTAATGTGAACTAATTAAGGTTGAATTAAGTTCAGCTGCTTGTCTCATTCAAGACAAACCTCCAGTGACTATTAGCCCTCTCTTACCCTTGGAGTAAGGAATGGTGTGACTGGCCTACCTTTCCCTGAGCCTTGTTTCATGTTTGTGGTAGTATACAGTTAGCTCTCAGAGCAGTAGTTCAGCACAGCGCACAGAGACATGTAGCACAGTGTGAATGCGAGAGGGGATGTGAGTTTTGATGATCACTGGAAGGATATGAGCAGTGGTTAGGACAGAGGTAAGCTTTCAGTTTTCCTTTTCTTTTTTTTTTTTTCCTGATTACATGTTCCTTGCTTGTGTGTTCTTCCCACACAGGGAGCATTGACAGATAGTGCAGCCCTCTGTTTAAGAGTGTCAAGTTGGGGGTGTGCGAAGTATATAGAAATGGTAACCTGGTGTGGGAGATGAAGAAGAAAATAAGAAGGTTGTATCAGGTTTAGCCGTCCTGTACAATCTAGATGGTAAATTTCAAGGGAATGCTTATGGAATAACGGTAATGACAGGAGCAGGTTTTGAAGGTAGGGGATGTGCACTGCCGCTTCTTCCCTAAACACTTTTTCCTATGCTTTCCAATAGTCTGCTGCATTTGGCCCTGAGGAGGAAGGAAAATGGTATCTGTGTGACTGTGGAGAAGACAACACATAGGAAGAAGACCCAGCATGTTTAGAGAGTAGAATGAGATGGTCTTGCTGACAATGCCCCTGGGTTTGCTTTATCAGCTTGGAGGAATGCATTTTTTTTACCCCTAATTGTAAAGGACAGAGTATAGTCATGTTAAAATTTAATGCTGATGCTTGTTACTTAAGCTGGTGCGTGCATATAGCTGACTTTGCAATTTATGAAATATGTTGTAAGGAGCGAATGATTCCATTAAAAAATGTCCTGGTTATGAAAATATTGGACTCATTCTCCCAGGCCAGCATTTTTTTTTTTTGCTAATTTAGCTTCTCAAGGTATTGGAACATACCTGGGACAAGGACAGCATGTGATGCTATTTTCCTGTTTTATTATATTTCTGCATACATTGGCATAGAACTATTACAAAAAACACGTATGCAGTGTTTTAGGTACTTTTCCCAGAACGTAATAAGATTTGTAACTATAGATTATGAGCTTCTGAGTTTGAATGTGGCTTTTGAAACATCCTGATGTATTTTCTGCTGGTGACACTGTAGAGAAATCAACAAGTCACTAGTCTTTCATCTCTTGCTCAGGGTTATTTCCAACTCTGATTTTATAAAGACAGCCAAAGAGATAAAGCTATGGGAAAATGATTTTTCTAAAGGTATTTTAGGACCCTTATCCTTGTTATTCTTTTTCTTAATGTCTGTTTCTATGGGAACCAAGGAGACATAAACAAGCAAAACTGACTCACTTCTCGTTGCAGGTTTTTTGTCTGCTTGCATTTCTATGGAAACCAATCTCACAGCAAATAAGGCTAAATTAATGAAAAACAATTAAACCTTCATCTTTAATATAACTGTGGATTTTTCTCCTGGTATATCTGTTAACTTTTGTGTTAAAATGTTCCTAGGACTAAGGCAGTGCTGAAGAAATTGATTTTCACAGGATTTTTACAGGATGTGCATGTTCTTTCTTGTGTGGCTGAAGCGTCACAGCATGTGTGATTGAACACAGTGTGGGTATAACTGTAGTATCTTGAGTAACTGGGAGACGGTCTTGTATATGCTGACATCTGCTTTCT